CCCAAATTGCCCAAACTAGTTTGGGCTTTGAGAAAACAGTTTGGACCAGAAACCTTAATGTCAACTGTTTTTTTTAAAAAACTGTAAAAAAATGACCAGGCCTTTTTGGGAATAACTAAATATTTAGAACATAAAAGGATAGATCTTTTTTTTTAAAAAAAAATATGTATATTCAACAATAAATGTGTTATCTGATTTATTAAGGAAAAAAATCATGAATTTTGTGACATCATAAACATATAAATGTAAAAAACCTGCTTTTAAGAATAACCTGCTTAATAGCATAGGAATTTCTTGGCCCAACAGTATGCTTATGGACAGGTTTTACTGTAGTATTATTTTAAAAAATGGTATTTGGGGCTCTCTAGCAAAAACTGGGTCCTATTATGTGTGTTTTAAAAAAGGTAGATTTATCATACCATGCAACAATACATTTGATTCTTTATTCTTAATTTCTTAAATGTTAACAAGTCAGTCAATGGACATTCATGAAAAAACACATTTTAAAGTTGATTGGTTTATGTAAAAAAAAATTTTTTTTGAATTTTAAAACTTTAACTTTTTTTTCCAATGTAAGATACAATAATAATAGAATAATAATAATAAACCCTTCCATTTTTCAATTTTTCAGCTTATTCAAGTTGTTCATATTGTGATATTTTAATGGATCAATTTTTCAATTTTTCAAATATTATTTCTTTAAGATAATGGTTGTTACTGTTGTTGATTTTGATTTTGCTATTGTTGATTTTGATGATGAATTTGTGGTTGTTGATGAATTTGTGGTGGTGGTAATAATGGCTGTTGTTGTTGAAGATGAAGATGAAGTGGTTTTTGCTGCTGCTGTTGTTGTTTTTGAGTTGAAGATTGAAAAGTTGATTGTTGATGTGATGTCACTTGCATTTGATGTTGGAATAATTGTGACATTTGTTGCATTGGTTGTTGTTGTTGTTGTTGCATTTGTGGTGATTGTTGATTTATTTGAAATTGTGGCTGTGGTTGAAATGATGGTATTTGTGATTGTGGGATTGATTGTGGAATTGGTTGCTGCTGTTGTTGATGTGGAATTGATTGTGATGGTGGCTGAAATGGTGGCATTTGTGGTGGCATTGATGATGATGATAATTGTTGTTGATGTTGATGTGGTAATATTGGTTGTTGCTGTTGTTGTTGTGATAATGGTTGTTGTGTTGATGATGATGATGATGATGGTTGGAATGGAGGAAGTTGTGGTGGTATTTGTTGCTGCTGCTGTTGTAGTAATTGCTGTTGTGTGTGTGGTTGGAAAGGAGGTAAGGAAGGTGATTCCATCACTGAATTATGATTCTGTGGATTCATGGGCATAGGCAAATATCCTGTTGTCAGACCGCCATTTCTTGAAAATGATAATCCTGGAACCAATGGTTCCTGTTCTTCTATTAAATATCAAAATAAAAATATAAGATAAAATGAGAATGTATTAAATGGATTAAAATTATTTTAATCATAAAAATAAAATCAAACTATTTACCTTCTTCTTCATCAACATCTTTCAACCCAAGTTCTTCAGCCTTTTGTCTACCAACATGATACTTGTCTTGTACAGTATCACCTGGACGAGCTCTTGTCCAAAATCTTGTGGAGTGATCATTAGAACCAGACACCAATATATGCCCAATTGGGTGCCAATCAAGTGACCAAACATTTTGATCATGAGCAAATTCAACTGATTCAACCACTGATTCTTGTCTAAGTAGGTAGATAAATATTGCTTAATAATTTAATATGACATGATATAAATATTTTTAAGAAACATTGCATTGTCATCTTTACCCAACAAGCCAAAACATTAAACACCCATCAGAGCCACCGGTAACAACCAATCTCTCATGAAACGGATGCCATGAAATACCTTTTAAATTATCAAAATAAAATTAAAGAAAAAAAGAATGTAATAATGTAAATTATCATCATCACCATTACTATATACATACTGCAAACTTCTTTATTATGCCCACGAAAGGTTTGTAAATCTTTCATCATCCTAATATCATAAACTTTGACTAATTGATCTTTTGCTGCAGTTCCCAACCAATTACCATTCTTATTCCATTGTAAACCAAGAATCATATTTTTGTGACCATGCCTATTTTTGATGCAAAATTATATTATGTTAATAATTATAATTATCTGAACAAATAAACATTAATTTTCTAGAAAAATAAATAAATCATATATATATATACAAAGTGTCAATATTTTTCCCTGATTTTGGATCCCAAAATTTAATCAAATTATCTTTAGAACCAGATGCTAAAAGTGATTTATAAGGATGCCAATCAACTGTTTTTACATCCCATCCATGTCCTTTATTTCCACAAATAATAAAAATGACCATTATTAAATTTCTTCATTAAAGATCACAAATGACAACAAAATAAAAATTTAACCTGATAATGCCTTTTCTTCAATCCCTTCATTGAAATCCCATATTTTGATTGTACCATCATCTGAACATGTAGCAAACTTTGTATCGGATGGTGAAAATCTAGATTGGTTACATTTTTATATATATAAAAAGATAGTTTATGAACAAAGTCATAATATCACTAATAATATCACCAATAGTAATAGTAATTAATAATCTACATACGATAAATCCCTTATAGCCTCTTTGTGACCTTCAATCATCTTCAGATTATTCATGTTAGACTGCCAATATTTTATGACACCTTTATGATCTGCTGTTACCATCCAATTATCGTTATGAGACCACTTCATGGCTCGAACTGCTGATTCATGAGCCTTTAATTATCATTTTATCATTATTAACATTTAATTATTGAGGAATCCATCCAAAAAATAAAGACCACACAATGATTAAAAAAAAAAAATAAAAAATAAAGCAAAAAAATGTTTTTGGTCAATCTTTATTTATTTCCTTTTTTTTTTCTCGATATTAGATCAAAACATATATAATAAGAAATTTGAAAAATGAAAATTTGACTTTCTCAAATAGAAATTATTTATTTATTTTGAAGAATGATGTTTTTTTAGGATAAAAAAAAAACAGAATATAATTATGATCTTTCGCCCTCTTAATTTCCTTAAATTATATAATTATTATGTAAACGTAACCAAAGAGAATGAAACTAATTCGTAATAAAAATTCAGATAACCAAAAAAAAAAATCTTTATTATTTGATCTCTTATTTATTTGGCGTTTCCCCCATATTAAAAATTTAAACCTTTATCTAATTCTATGTTGATATATATGTGTTTACCCCTCACAATCGACAAATTGCTCCAAAGATCCCAAGAATCAAAGGAATGGTAATAATAACAAAATAATAAAATACATATTAAAAAAAGAAATAATTTCATACCTGTAAAATAGTTTCAAAATTAAAAGTCAATCCATTCCAAAGCGTAAATTCACCACTTGATAATCCTGTAATTAAACGTCTTCCCTCAGGAGTCCACTATTATAAAACAAATAATATTAAATCACAAAAAAATTGTTGCAAAATCAATTTTATAAACCAGCTAGCTCTTACATACTCGGACAACATTAACTGGATATCTATTTTTATTGGTCGAAGTATGTACATATTTTGTTGCTATTGCATTAACTGGATTATTAGGATAGGCCAATGGTGGTAGAAGCTAATTACATAAATATATACATGTGCAGGAGATAAATTTATTAGATTTTTTATTAATAATGATAAGAAAATACTATTGCTAATAAATACATTTATGGTGAAATTTGGTTTAGGACGTAAGAATTCGATCTCTTCTGGGCATCGTATCCAAACTCGATCCTGTAATAAAAAGGTTTTTTAAAATGAATGTTTGTCATGTTTATTGCAATCTACAATTATTTGTTACTATTAAATAAATACCTGCAAGTATTTCCCAATAGAGCAATTATAATCCACTGTTCTTCTTTGAATGGCTTTTCTCATTCTTTTACCATCAAAGACTGCACGTTGTGCATTGTTATTACTATTATTGTTGGTATTATTGTACATGACGAGCAATAATAAAATAGTTTTTAAAAAAATTATGGTGATCAAAAAAAACTATCTAACGGATCATTTACAAATAATAATACAAATTATGCATTATATGATATCTAAGAACAAATAAAGTTTCAACACGAGATCACAGATGAGAAGAAGACGGAAGGGGAACATATAATACTCAAATCTATTATAATAATGATCATAACACTAAAACGACAGTTTTACTTTTATGCGTCGGCTATCTTGTGACCGAATGTGGGGTCCTGCCAGATGTTCGGATTTGGAGGAAAAGGATGCCATTGTTCGATGTTGACCTAACAGTCCAGCTAGAAATCTTTCATATATATATCTGAGTCCTCGAAACTGAACTTTGTGGTAAAAGCCGCTCTGATCAACCCTGACTGTGATTGTTGGTTGTATATAGTAGACAGGGGAAAGTAAAAAAAATTTTTCTTTAAAAATTCCGAGGATCAAAATTTTCTCTGCAATTTTATATGCAAAGTTCTTGAAATCCAAAAGGGTTGTTGAGTTTTTTCTTCGCATGATCGGTAAAACATGGATTAAAGGATCCAGTGGCTCAAACTTTTGGTATCTACAAAATTCACTTTATTTGTAAAGTTCCTGTTAAAAATGACATGTTTTGAAACCACTATCCACTCGGTTCTTAAACCAAAGTGTAATATACCAGCCCATTCGCTTTTGTTTCATCATAATCGACAGGCTTAATCAAATCTGGTAACATATCATGCAGCGCAGTATTAGGGAGTCTTTACTATGTTGTATCATGCAATGTTGGAATTTTGAAGGATTCAAGAAAATATATATTGTCGGAAACTCCCATGCTTGCTTAAATGGCCCCCAACTCATGAAGACCATCAATTATTTCATCTATTTGAACTTACTTCTTTTGGTTTTTTAGCCGCGTACAATTTTTCCTGTTTATAATGGTATATTGGTTCTATAGAGAACGATAAACAAAACTTCAATATACAAGTCACTCCCGTTATTACTATTAATCTGCGTGACATGTCCTGTGACCGATACTAATACGTTTTTTTGATACAAAAGTGTTTTATTAAACAAAAAAAAATTACTTTATTTTATTATTAAATTATGAAAATGTTTATTGCAAAATAATATTTGTCAAATTTGAAATTTATTAATTAAATCTTGGCTCTGAATTATCAATATAGAAGAATTATTTAATTATTTAAATTAACAGTTAATTGCCCATTAGTTAGAAAAATTAATTTGCTAGATCAAAAAGTGACATTATCTTTTTTGAAACTAATTAATTATGTTTGTTCCATTAATTTAATTAAATAAAATTAATAAATGCGAATGTAAAAAATTACAAATATAAAGTATTAATAAAATGAAAAAGGTTAGGACACATTTCTAACATACTATTACTATATGATTGGACAGCACTTTGATAAATCCATTTTATTTATCACACTATTTAAATTGAACTTTCTACAAAAACCAAATCATTAATTTCATTTTCTTCATTAAATAAACATCTTACCTCTTGTAATATAATTAACAAATCACTTTTGTTTTTTGATCTAAATCCACGATATTTGCATCGACAGTTTTCACCCATTAGTTCAAGGAAAGATTCCAACTTGATGATAAGTTCTTGTTTTGTCATTTTTGATTCACTTACCTGGGCAATTGCTTCTTCTTTGGTTATTGGAATAGGCTTAGATAAATAAGTTGTATTTTTATTGTAGAATACTTCCACAATATAATTTTCTCTAGCCTTTTTTGCTAAATTGCTAAAATTTTTCAACTGTTCACTCAATTCATTTTCATCAACCAGGCTTTTATACATAGATGTTATTTTTGTTGGATTAACAAAATCAAGATTTCTTAATTGAACTCTAAATCTTTGACATTCTGTACTTGATTCAGGACGAGTTCTTGGAGCATTGGAATGAACATCTTTATATCCAATTGTTTTAAATAAATTGGTTCGCAGCTAAATTTATTATAAATTAATAAATATATATATTTAAATTTAAATTGGTTCACAGTTAAATTTATTATAAATTGGATAAATATATATAATAAATTTTATTACCTGAAAAAATTTTTTTAAGTTACAAGCAGCAATTTTCCAATGATGTAGTTGTGGCACAGGAGGTATTAAAGATTTTAATGTCTTGTTCACTTCTTCTAAAATTGCATCTAACCCTTGATGCTGGTTAAACAATCCTGATCTGGATAATACACAATATTTCTCCACCAAATCACGTATACTTGGATGAAGTTGCATTAATTGTACTTCATCTGCAACTTCAATTAATTGATAAATTGGATGGCAACGAGCTGACCAAATTGGAGAAAAGGCTCTTCTTGCAGCACTTTTTAATAAAGGACGATTAGTTCTTACAGCTGTTCTATAATTGATAATGGCTTGCAAATAATAAAATGTCTATTATGCAATTTTTATAAACTATTAATGTTTAATCCAATAAGTCTATGTATTTAATTAACAAATAATATTAAAATTTCCCACCTGTTCATACTTTATTTGATAAATTGGATCCTGTTGTCCTTTAGCCCACACTATGTATCCTTCAACTGATGGATTAGAATGATTTTTTACATAAGGCCACATAAGCTCCAGAGACATTGCTTGACGATATATGTTACAGACAGAATCCCAGGACTTATGATGATCATAACATTTTTTAAAATAAGCAAGCTGTTTATCATTTTTGTAACCTTGACATATTGCAAACTGTTTAAGATCAATCTCCCTAATTTAAATATAATAAATTAATATAAATATAATAAATTAATATAAATATTATAAATTAATATAAATATAATTAAATGAATATAAATATAATAAATTAATATAAACATTATAAAATTAATATAAATATTATAAATTAATATAAATATAATTAAATTAATATAAATATAATAAATTAATATAAACATTATAAAATTAATATAAATATAATTAAATTAATATAAATATAATAAATTAATATAAACATTATAAAATTAATTAAATTGAATATATATATATATATATGATATAAATATAATATAAACATTATAAATTAAGTTCTACAATAAGTTGTGATTTGTTCCAACATTCCAGTTCACGTAACTCCAACAAATTTTTTATTCTTTGGAATTCTTCTATAGGAACAGATTCATTGTTGGCAAATTCTGCTTCAGTAAACTGAACAGTTGTGTCAGTATTAATGCTAGAAGTATTGTTTCCACGTGATCTTTTTTTTTTACAACAGGAGTGTCAATTTTGCCTGTATTTAAATTTGAGAGAGTTTCATAAAATTTATTAGTAGATATAACTTGGTTATAATGTATATACCTCACAAACAGAAAAAGAATTTAATGAAATATGAATGAGTTCAGGGATATAGTTATGACAGGCTTGTAGTTTTTCAGCTGCTGCTTTACTACTAGCATAACGCCATGTTTGATTCTTCTTTACTGCACATGGTTTCAAGCCCTTATCTGTGTATAGATCGACTAAGTTAGCAAAAATACATGGAAGATCTTTGGCTTGTATCTTTTGGTATTCTGTCACTAATAATAAAATTATTATTATTATTATAAAAAAATTATTAATTTCCACGACTCAACATAAAAAATATGCAAATTTTCAATTTTTTAGCTCTCATTTACTTTTTGAAGTCTGGGTGATTATTTCAAACTCTTTGGTGATTATTAAAATATGAATACTTGTTTGTTTATTTTTATGATATGGTTTAAAATTACAACAAAATTTATTTGTGTAAAGTCACATGAAACATAAGTTTTTACAACGGAAATGAATGCACAAGAGCCTATTAAAATTATGTAGATCATTCTAGAATCAATTTCCAAATTTGGTAAAAACCCTGACTGTAATAAACACTATGAATTTCATATAGGGTGACAGTTTTGAAATTGACAAATCTATATGTGTTACATTGGGTTGTCCCCATACCCCTAGGTATTATTTTACATTACAGGTGATCCGCATATAATATACATATAATACACATGTCTATAAATTACACGCGAACTATACATATATTATATGCAGATCACCTGTAATGTAAAATAATACACGTATAATATACATATAATATATGTATCAAAAAACACATTTTCCTGATGAAATTAATTCTTTTGCCACCACCTTTTTTTCCAAATATTTGTTTGCTTTTCAAAGCAAATCCAGGTTTTAATAAATTTTTCATATTAATATCACTAATATCATTATCATCAATTTGCTTTCCCACCAGAATTTCGCAAATGGACCATAATGCAGAGTGCTCACAATTGATCCAGATTCAATAAAACTTGAATTAAATTCAATTGACATTTTAAAATGATAATTTTGCAAGAATATAATTTTTTAAATATTTATTGTGTAACGGGGATGTAAAATATTTTTTTGTCGATCTTTTAATATAAAATTTCCCCCGTATTTCTATAATAAATTGATTGACATTTCTCTCATTCATAGACGGATCATCAATTAACTATTTAATTATTTTAATATTAATGAATATTGTTTTACAAAAAAAAAAATTTAAAATCCAATGTTTCTTCTTGGTTTTTTACTCTCCCAATGTTCTATTGCTTCTAAAAAATCAAAATTTTCAATTTCTGGTCCATTAATAAAATCATTAAATATCATCTAATGTGTCTAAATGCATTTTGTTTCTTAATTTGTTTTTAATTAACTTTGTTTGAGAAATATTCTTTCTACATGAGCATTAGAAAGAGGTATAAGAAGTGCTATTCTAACAACTAATAATATATTTGGATTATTAAAAGGAAAATCTTCATCAGTATCTAAAATGTGTTTCCATAATTGAATGAAATTCATTTCCCTATTATTATTTTTATAGTTCTGCAGGAAAAGTTTTGTTGAATTCCATTCTTGTTTAAGTTCTTCTTTGTCAATGATTCCACTAAATTCATTAACATTTACAAATTTAATTTCTCCATAGAAATTTCTATTTCTTGATTTCCATATAAAACTAATTCTCTATCATCATCTGGAAGTATTAATTTATTTCGTGTACACATAATTATGGTGTAGCATGAATTTTCAACACTGATTTTGTGAAACGAAATTTTTCCTTTTCCTTCGAAAATTTCTAAAGAGAGATAGCATCGTTGCCAATTCTTTCTAAATATCACCAAGATATTATCAATCTTTTCTAAATTGTTACAAAGTATGTTGCACTGATTTGGTTGAGTTGTATTCTTTCGTTAATTAAATACTGCCAATTTTTTAGTAGTAATGATCGGCGTAATAATAACTTATCCAATCAATGTCTTTATGCACAGAAAAAGCCGTTATGTTTTTAGTACGATTGTAAATCAGCAGACATGAATCAGATTACATAAAAAAATACTTGTATTTATTTAAATAAACCATATATATTAAATCAATAATGATAAAAAATGAAGGCGAGATAATAATTAGTTAATCTTACATAATAAAACAATCTTAATTTTGTTATGGATATCATAAAAACAAACTGGTTGTTATAATTTAGATAATTACTTTAAAAAAAGAAGTTCATATACAACATATATAGATATTTATATTCGTTTATTTATATATTTATAAAAATGGAAAAAAATAATAATGACAACGGTGATTATCGTTGTTATCATCATGACGTAGAAGAAGAAGAAGAAGACATAATATGAGAAATATCATTTCTTCTTACTAAAGGAGCAATAAAATAACGATCTAAAGGTAGTGAATCGGGAAATCGTGAACCAAAATCAGGATTATAAAACAACAAATGAAAGACCCGTTTGGAATTTCCTTTACAAGTTATACGAGTACGAAAATATCTATTTTCTATATCAGGATAAATTATAGTTATTATTGCCTTTAGCAGATTGGACAATATGATCAATTGAGGAACGCCTACCAAAGAACCATTAATACAAGTATTCAATGATTCAATTTGCCACACTATAGCCGCATATTGTGGTGCATTAGTAGCAAATCCAAAATGAACAGCCATATCAATCGTGTCTTTTTGGAAATAACCAGGATATACCGAAGTAGTAGTTATTTTCCCACCATTTGCAGATATTTCTTCGGTATGTTTTTCAAAACTTTTCCTATTCTTATCAGTTCTATTCACCATTTCCAACACAGTCCTCACTCTCAATTCCTCGTGATAAGCATCCTTACTTCCCACTTTTTCCCAATCTAAAACATTCAACAAAATTGATATTGATCTAAAACCGTCATTTCCGTCATTTGTCACATTAAGAACATATTTGAATTCGGAAGCATGATCGGGTACAATGATTCGTGGATCATTTGTGACATCATAAGAAGAAAATTGACTTATAGTTTTTGTAAATTGAAGTGATTTGTATTCTGTCACGTCAATAATTTTTTGAATTGCTTGACATTCTTGTTTGAGAAGGGCATATAGTCGATCCCACAATTCCGAATAATCTTCTGGTTTTTTCATAGAACCTTTAATGAATGTGGCCAGTGTGGAAAGACGTAAATTCATTTGATGAAAAAATTCTTGTCGATTAACGTATCTCAGTATTATGTGAGACGGGATTTCTTCACTACTATTACTACTACCAGTAGTAGTAATATTATTATTGAGATTTTCATTTGGGATCGGTGAAGTTGATGAAGAATTTGTTTTTGAAGTTCTTTGTCGTTTGTTATTATTAATTAATAGTAACTGTTGTAATTGCTGCTGCTGCTGTTCTTGAAAACTACGTTTGTTTGTTGATGTTGATTCTGTTGAAGTTGCAGCTATCGTTGTTGGTGCATCATTATTCTTAATATTATTTATATCGAATTCACAAAGAGAATTTAAATTTGGTGAAGACGAAGTATTTAAATAAATCAAGGACGTGGCATCAGTAGTAGCAGTAACATCATTAGTATTATTACTAATATTAGGCATATGAATATTAAATGCATCTAGACTATCACTAGAACCATCATTGTTTTTGTTGTTGTTTAAAAACCATGGTGCTGATGAAGAATTACGATCATCTGAATATACATCACTTGATAAAAAGTCAGAAAAATCCAAATCTACGTTATTATTATTGCTGGCGGTATTGGTTGTTTTGGGGGACTGAGAAAATTCAGAAGTTTGTGGAGGTGGAGGTGGAGGCGAAGGCGAAAATAAATTTTGATTCGAAATATTGAAAATCGGAGAATTTAAAGAAATTTCTAGGTTATTGTTACCACTACCAGTAATATTGTTATTTTTACCAACGTTGCTCTTATCGTTGTTGTTTGCTTTTTTGTTCGTAAAAGTGTCAACAGGAGTATTCGATAATAATTGATCCAAAAGAAAGGATTTTATATTTTGATTATTGTCCGAAGAGGCAAAATAATCATCAATATCAAAAGTATTAAAATCATCTGGTGACGATGATGTAGTAGAATGTGGAGGGGGTGGTAGTTGCTGAGGTAATAATGTTGAGATAGTGGAGGAAGATTGAGAAGGAGAAATATTTAAAGAAGCGTTATTATTATCTGAAGTGTTGTTGATATTGCTATTTGTTGATAATGATGATAATTGAGAAGATTGTGACAATTGTGGATTTTGATGAATTCTTGATAAATTATTTATATTATTATTTAATAATTGTATTTGATCAGAAAGAGGAAGTTGATTATTGTTATCATTATCTTTGAAGAGATTTTGAGGATTTTGACGCCGAAGGTCTAAAGTTACAGGCATATTGTCATTGTTGATTAACGTAGAAGAAATTTGTTGTCGATCAGGAGAAGGCAGAGAATTGATTATTAATAAATTATTATTACTATTAGAATTAGGGGAAGCAATTGAATTACTAGAAATATTATTACTGTTACTATTGTTGTTGTTGTTGTTGTTGTTGTTGTTGTTGTTGTTGTTATTGTTGTTGTTGTTGTTGTTGTTAGAAGACGAGAAATAATTAGAATCAGAAATATATTGAAATGAACTCATTTCAAAAATAAAATGTTTGTATTTATATTATTTGCGTTTGTTGTTGTACAACTTGAACAATAAAGAAATGAAGAAAAATTATTTTTTGTTTATTATTTGAATATATTTAGAAATAAAAAAAAATAAGAAAAAAATTTAACGAAAAGAAATCTGAAGTATGGTTTTTTTATAAAATCATAAATAATTATTATTATTTGATGAAGATGATGAAGAAAGATGGCAGTTGTTGATAATAAATTAGAAATAGCAAGTTAATTTAATTAAATAATGCGATGTAAATTGATTTTGCGCTTTATATGGTAAAATCTTCTTTTAATTAACATTTTATTTTTCTCAAATTCAATTTTTATTTTTCATTTTTCGTATTGTTATTTCCCTCCTGGTTTTATTTATAAATTTTTTCTAAATTAATTAATTAAAAATAGTTATAATAAGCCCAAAAAAAATCCTGCTTTCTTTAATTACTATTTTCCAACGTAAACCAATAAAAACAAAGAAATCACAAGAAAGAATATTTGAAACTAAATTAATCAATTGAATGATTAATAAATATAACATAACAATAAAATTAATTAATTAAAATTTAAATGATAATAATAAATTAAAGATTTGTTTGTTTGTATCTCTCTTAATATTCTTCTTCTTTACATAAATCTTGTTGTCATACAATAAACTTGATCCAGAAGTTGAACAGAAAACAAAAAAATAATTTAAAGTTCTTATTGTTCTAATTATCCTCGCTGACCGATTAAAAAACGCGTTGTTTCTAATTTTAAATTTAAACTCGCGCGTAAATTTTTTCTTAAAAAAGAAAAAAAATTAAAATTTAAATTAATTAGTTTTCCCAATCAAGAAATTCCGGCGGCTGAGTTATTGATGTGGCTCGTGTATCGGCTTGTGGATCAGCGAGAAATATTCATGATCAAAAACAAAAAAAAAATAATTCGACACACAAATTTCTTCATTCCCATATTTGTAAATGTTTGTAATACAAATTTACTTCCAACTGCGTATAATTGATTGCGAATACTAATTAATTGTTTGTTTTAACCATATGTATAAACTTTGTAACAAATTGATTTAACAAACATGCAAGGACTTTTTTTATTTTTTCCTTTGAAAATTCCAATTAATTATCAACATATACTATGCGTTAATTACTATTAATATTAACCATTATTAAATCATTATGGAAAAACTTATAATTGGTTAATAAATATCGAATGAGAAATAAAGAAAATTTTACACAATTTATTTTAACAATGATAAGATATCTTTGTTTTTAATTTACTTACATTGTTCTCCAATAACCAGGCATTTATTTGCATTTTATAATTTATAATTTATAATTTATCATTTATATTGTTATATTATACTTATTTTTTTCCAAGATATTTTTCTTATGTCCTCTTCTTCTTCTTCTTCTTCTCATTCTTTCTCACTCTCTCACTCTCTTGTCTTTCTTCCTTCTTAAAAATTAAATTACATAAAATGTAGATCCTCCCGAGAGTTATGTTAGCTTAACATATTAATTAATTAATAATTAATTAATTAATTTGATCATGAGTGACTGAATTTGGAAGTGAAAAATTCGTCATTAAATTTTATTGGTTATAATTTATTTTTTTAAAAAATCCTTTACTTACAACTTTGGAAGCTTTACTCTTTTTCTAAAAAATGTTAACGTAAATTCCCAATTTAATTAAATCTATAATTAGGGAATGTTAGGATTAATTATTTTTCTTTTTGTTGCATCTTTCTTGGAAAAAATGTTTTTTCTTTGTAATAGATAGATAATCTTTATTTATTGCTTACATGCATTTTAATATTTTGATATTAATAACAATTCGTCAATCTCGACCCCGACCTAGTAAGAAGATTGTCTTTTCGTCTATGTAAAGGCATTAAATATTTACTATTAATAATTGTTTATTATTACTATTATATTATTATTATTATTTATTTTTCTCTGTTGTTTATATTCTATCTAATTACCTTGTATAAAAACAATATCCATTGTTTAAATTGCCATTTCCCATCATTTTTCGTGTGTGTTACACCTTTCTACATCAAATCTTTCCTTATAATCAACCAACTTAAATCTAATTAATTTAATTTTGATGTTTTACCTTTATTAAACACGATTATATAAATCATTTACATATTATTGTGTAATATTAACTAAAGGATTAGATGTTGTACGATGGAATTTCTATTTTTTAAATTATCAGTGAAACCCCGGCAACTTTTAAGGTTTAAAGATAAGGGAAACCATGTAACTAATTCGATGGTAAGGCTGTGACCTCCAATATTATTATTCGAAGATACTTCCAAAAGAATTGTGAGAGTTTCTATATATATTTGAATTGATAGAAAATGAAAAAAAGGTCATCGCTTTTATATAATCGAAGGAAAAAATGTCATCGGTTACACAGATTCGCAAATATGTCACGATAAGATAGCCACATTTCTGTGTAACTGACCATATTTAGAAGGATTTATATATATGACTTATATGATTTATCCTCTAACAGTATGACAAAAATAGAGTTTAAGAGAAATAATTTATTTTGTAAAATTGGTAATGAAAATGCATTTTTCGAAGAACTTTCTGGGGAAAAGAACATTTGTTGTTATTATTATCAGATTTATAATTATGCTATTTTTTCCTATGTTTAACAATCGTATTAAGTTTCACAATTTTAAGCTTATTGCTGAAAAATTTCTTTAACAGAATACATTAAATTTTGCCCATTTATGAATACGACCTTTTAAAATTAAGATGTAATTCAATTAGATATATGTCTTATTTATTACGAAATGAAATTAGAAACTAATGAATTTTTTATATGTAATAAGAGAAAATTAAAAAATATTCAATGATGTTTTGTTTACCGAATTGTTTTTGGAAAAAAGAAATCATCTCGGCTTTTCGATATTCTTTATATACTATTTAATTTATTTTAGGTTAACGGTTTCAAATTAATTACGGCTACTATGAAAAATCCTTTCGTCATTTTGGATTCATTTATTAAATGTAATAATTTTGGCTGACATCTATGGTTTAGGATATATGTTATATTTTTAAATCTAGCCAAATGAACAGCAGAAAGTTCAGGGAATAGAAATGTTAGACTTTGGCAGCAGGTTTCAAGCGTCTTCTTTCCAAAGCAGATATGTATCAATCATCATTATTTGAAATTAGAAAATATCCATTATTTGTATTGAAGCAAAAATAATAATAGTGAATAGCAAAGAAATTTTGTTGTGAACTTTCTTTCCAAATCTAACTCCAACATTGTTATTATTTTCAGATTTATCAGATTATTTATTTGGTAAACATTGACTTTACTTAATTTAAAAAAAAATTAATATAATTAATATTAAATTTAAATATTTATGTGAAAATAGAAATTACTTCCCCTTCTTCATGGAGCTCTTTTCATTTCTTAAAAAAAAATTTCTGATGATTCCTGGCTAGTAAAACGAGATTTTTTTATTTTTTTATTGTTTTCAAATATAAAACATTATTTTTAATATATATATATATATATATATATGTATATGTATATATGTGTATTATCAATGATAAATAAGCACACTTCAGAAACGTTACAATGTTTAGATGATAAAGTTTTTAAAAATAAACGGCCTATCTACTATCGCCCCATTTACTCAAACAATTACAATGAAATGTATATTGGCATAATATTGTTAACAATCTTGTTACTGAAACATCCATTCTTTCTAAACAACAGGACAAGTAGAAAGCATGTAAATTGTAGAAATTTCTTATTGTGAAGATGATGGAATGAATCATGTAAAAATGAAAATGAAATATTTCGAGCTAAAATAAAAAGATATTTACTTATATGTAGTAAAAAGAAATAATAACATTGAACTAAATGGTCGAGCATTAAATTGTTTATAAAAATCATTTGCTACATGTGAATTACGAAATTTCATTTACACTACAAATCTATTAGGTTTAGAATCTATAACGAAATATAGTATGTGATTGATTATAATAAATCATCTTTATATAAATTTACCTTATAGTCCTAAGATGTCTTACATCATTTCTGGTGCAATAAACCTAAAAATCTGCACTTGTACGAGAAGGAACAGCTGATACAGCTGATATAGTATCATCATTATCCTCAATTTTTGTTAAATTTATTTTAAACATTCAGCTTCAAGGATAAGAACAAAAAATTATAACAACTAAAGAAAATTCAAATAAAAATTTTTTATTAATAATATCAAAATCGTAGTCATAACTCTTGTTGATATTTAATTGTAAAAAAAAAACCAATAAAACTGCAAATACCTTTAAATTATCTTTCAATGGCTCCACTATAAATAAACATAACTTTTTCTTGAAAACCCATTTATTAAAATCACTACCGAATTTATCTGTGGCTTATTAATTGGACTTTTCCTCGTTATAAAAAAATCAAAAATTGATAAAATAATTAATGAAATAGAGCCTCGGAAAAAATACAGATCAAGTAGACTAATCGGTGAAAAGAAATACCTGAAAGAAATTGAAACTTTGTAATTACTATTACTTAAGGAAAAAGGATTGCTGCATCAATTTTCTATCAACAAAAAAATAAACTTGGATGAAAAATTAGAAGCAATTCAACAGTGAGTTGATAAGGAAAGAAGAACGAGATGAAAAGAAACTGAAGATAATGAAATAACGAAACAAAGAAGATACAAATATTTTCCTCCAATGTAAGTGCTCTGACATTCGTTTATCACCCGTGACAAAAAATCGATTGTTGTTCTTTTTTATATTGTGAAACGTGTGATTTCAATTAAATTTAGAATAGGACACAAAAACTCGTTTAACCCGAGATACGTGTATATTTTGCTTTCTATGTGTGTGAAAATGATCAAATGATCAAGTCACTTTCAGAGAACTATATTTCAACGAAAGTATATTTTAAGGCATTTTAGACCAAGAATCGTGTACTCTTGTTTTATAATAACAATATGCTTATCTAAAATTTTACTTTATCAATACTAAAGCATTTCTGAAATGGGGCATGGACAATAGAAATAACCCAAACGTCAAAATCACGATTTTGAGATAATTGAAAAAAAAGATGTGCATTTCAAGTAATTTACCTATTGTTTTTAAGAACTTTTAACAGAAAATATCCCAAAATTTTATTAGTTTCTAAGCTAAAATTAATCTCTGTAATAAATTGCATGTAAAAATGCTGTTAACTCAAAAAAACATGATTTTTGACGTTTGGGTTGTTTCTATTGTCCATGCCCCAAATCACCTTCTGTTATTTCATATTCATCATTATCATCATATTTCATTTTCTTATTTCATCAAGTAACAAATTATTATTTTTCCTAATCTATCTATTTATATAGGATTTTACATTCGAGGCAACACCTTTTTATAAAATTCTAAACATTATGATGATAAGCATGACCACAGATTAACATTATATAGTTGGCTTGGTCTAAAGACCTCCTAAATTTTGGGCAAAATTTAAAAGTATAGAAGTCACTTTCTGTCCTACTTTTTAAAAAAAGGGTCTGGGACACTTTACCAACACCCACTTTACCAACAAGACACTTTACCAACAGGACACTTTACTGACAGGACACTTTACTGACAGGACACTTTACCAACAATCAAAGTAAAGTCAAACTTGACATAGAAATGGTCTTGTGAGGAACACCACAACCCCCACAGAAACCACAAGATTGTAATCGTGAAATATGGATTCAAACAGTATTAAATAACATTAGATCAACTATAAAGTTTCTTCAGGACATTGCCCATAATATTTCATTTTAAAATTTTTTTTTAAAAAATTTTTTTTGGTGTATAATATTAATTAATGTGTCACAATAAAAGTTTTTTGTAAATGATTGATAAATAAATTTAATAAAAAAATAACATGAATATGCAATTTTTATCAATTTGTCTGACAAAAAAAAAATATTACACATGTATCTATATTGTATTTTTATGAACTTGTTTTTGATGCAAAGTGAGGATAATAAGTGGTGTTATTAGTCATGATGTATGGCTAAGTTTTCACTGCACAACAAACCAAATTTTTAGCTAGTTATCCAGGACTTCACACAGTCCTTGGCAAATTGTTAACACAATACTTGTTGGTAAAGTGTCTTGTTGGTAAAGTGGGTGTTGGTAAAGTGTCCTGTCAGTAAAGTGGGTGTTGGTAAAGTGTCTGGGTCCATAAAAAAATAGCTCTATTAGTTGATATAATATGTCTTTAGTTTTAATGTAATAGAGAGATTTCTCAAAAATTTATTTGTTGTAGAGTTCTATTCTTTTTTAAAACATGTACTTTATTGAATTTTCCCACAGTGATCATTTCTAAATTTAGACTAGATATTGACTATCGTATCTAAATTTGGCAGTAAGAAATAATTTTTTAAAACTAAAATCACGTGAAGTCCTATTTTTTGAAAAATTTTAAAAAAATTTATTACATTTTTGAACAAATTACAAAATTGCTATTTTTTGAAATTTGGCCATGTGGTGCAGCAATGGGAGGTCTTTAGACTGAGCCAACCATACCTTTTTGTTGATCACAATAATCACAGTTATTATTAGATGGTGGTTTAGAATTAACAGACTGGTAAGCATTTTATTTTTAATTGTTCATAAATAAAAATAAATATGAATGTTAATAATAATAACAACAGCAGTGATAATAATAATAGATATCATTATTATTGATGAGAAATGGAGAGAAAGAAAAATAAGAGAAGGCTATATCTGTGAACTCTCACTTGTAAATATTATTATTTATTTTTTTGGTGTTACAAATTAAGGGTGCAAGAGTTATTCAAACATAAATGTATATGTTTCTCTTTAGAGTAACAATGTACTAACAGGAGTTTGATAATATTTAATTACTATAATGGTCATCAATATATGTATTTGTAATTTAGTTACTAAAAATTTTCTTCAACAAATAATTCTTTAAAAAAAAAAGGTGATTGATAACCACTAAAATTGTTTTATGTGGATATGTGGACCAGATTGAATAGGCAATCTTGGGCATTGATTTAATTATTTGAGTGTTAATTTATTTATTCAAGAGAATTGTTTTGAAAGTACATTCAGGTCACTTGTACATTTTGATTAATTAGTGAACTTTTAATAACAAAATATTTCATTCATTGTGTTATTGACTCATATTACTATATTAAGTAAAGAACGTCTATACAGTCGAACCTCGTTATAACGGACATATTGGTTTGGCCTCAATGGTCCGTTATAACGAGGTATCCGGTAACCAAGGTAATTGATGATCATCACGTGATGTTTTTAAAAATAACTTTTTTATTATTTATTAATTAATATCAACGATAGTAAAATTGTACAACATAATAATAATAATAATAATTATTATTATTATAATATAACTAGTGTTCCATGTTGCAATCCAAAAAAGGAATCAAAATGGTTGTAAAGGTGGTTGCAACCAGTGGTTGCAATCGTTTTTATATGATGCAAAGATGGTAGCAACCATCATCAAAAGTTGCAGCCGGTATCCTTAGTGGAGATTGGTGAGCAAAAAAGGGTTAAAATTAAGGTTTGTGGCTAATTTTATTAATAGAATTTTGATATTGATCACCAAAAAATACCACTTCCCAATCATTTAATGTAACACATTGTTCAACTATTATATATTTATTTGAGTTCTACAGAACCTATATGCATGGGATTTTGCAAAGATCTTCATAAGAACCTAAACTGCAAATGATATAAATTACTATGTATATTTTTGCACAATTTACAAAAGCAAGTGTTCTGATACTTTTGTCCAGATGCTGTATATTAGATATGAAAATCCATTAAAACAAGTGGTTTTGAAAATTTATCCTATAGAAAATTATTATGTGTGGATTTTTTAACATTACAATTAAAATTTTTTCAAGTTGTCAATTTTATCAATTTCATATTAAATCCTGAAATTTAGTTAAAATTTAAAATGCAAATTCTCAATAACCAAGCAATTTGGTGATGTAATCTTTTACAATATTGTTCTCAATAATTTTGATGAACACCCTATCAGAGAGCTTTTTTTATTTTTATTAACAAAAAAAATTTTTTTCTAAAGGTCCAAAGTTGTTGATTTTATCAATACATTCAGACTTTGGTGCTAAAAATATACTAAAAAACAAATAGTTGTATCTTCTATAAATGTTTTCAAATTATCCTATTGTTACCAATAGTCAGAAATCTCACCACACATCCAATTCAGTATATACTATATCAAAACAGAGATGCACAGAGTGCAGAGTCTTTGACTCATAAGTGTATATCCTCAATGAAAAGCAGATAATTATAATCAATGTCCATACACAAGGTACAAAGGAGGTATTCTCAATATACATTTTGCTTGCAATACAAAATAAATATATACAGTGTGAATTTGGGGCATGGACAATAGAAACATGACCAACGTCCCTGAGGACAAATTTGAGTTAATAGCACCCCTATATTGAATTCACTGCAAAGATTAATTTTAGCTTAGAGATATTTAAAGAAATTATAAACGATGTAAATTAAAATAGGAGTGATCAACAAAATACAGGGGACATTAAAATTGTAACACAAAATGCTATAATAATAAATAATAATATAAAATAAAATTTTTTGACATATTTTCAGAAAATACCCCTGATTTTAATTTTTTGGGGTGAAATCTTTTTTTTGATTTTCTCAAAATCATGATTTTGACGTTGGTCACGTTTCTATTGTCCATACCTCATTTAATAGTGGCACACTATTGCTCATTAAATAAATGCAATTGTATTAAAAGTTTAATATAAAGCAAAATTTTATCTTTACATGATAAAAGAATATATATCAAGTAATCTGCCCAAGTTTAAAATTCTGTTTATTACATATTTGATTTCTTTAAACCTAATTTTGAAATAGCTATGATTTTACTTGTCATACTACCAATACTACTAAAAAGAAAGTTGGGAAATTTTTTTATAACTAATTTATTTCAATTACATTAATTGTCTTCCAATAATTATCAGATGGTATATGAATTTTGAATTGTGTGCATTCAGCATTATGTTTGACATGAACTAAATGATCTGTTCTGGAGTATTAATGGGCACATCTGGTTCTCTATGACCATCTAGGTAGAAATTGACAAGATATACATCCATTTTATAATGATCAACATATCTTACAGCCTGCCATAGTGCTTTATTGAAATCATTTGATGTGATGTTATTGACTTTGAATGAGTAAGCAACCAAATTCTCATTACCTTTAACTATCATTAAATCAAGTTGTTCATGACCACTGCACTTTACCTCTAGCAAACATAACATTGGCCTGGGAAGTAAGCCATTAAAGACACAATAAAGTGCTGCCTGTAAAGATCTTTCTGCTGAACCATCTACATTTTTAACTCTATCATCAATGATTGTAGAAGGATCAATGTGTTTCAATCCAAGTTCTAGCAACTTAATAGGATCAGTTGGTACTTTATTTATTGGTAAAGGTTGTAGTGGTTTAGGAAAGACTGTGTTGATACAAATACGCAGGATAATATAGCTTGTAAAACCAACTAATAATTATCACCAAAAAGAAAGAGAATGCCAACATTTATTAATCTTCTGATAAAGTGTTTGGGTATATTGGAATTTATGTACCATTTATCTCCCATATTCTTTGTAAGATCACGAATAATTGCCTTTTCAGTATCACTCATATTGTTTAACATTTTCTTCAGTTTGATATGTGTCACATTCATGTACTCACTAAGATTATTTTCCAACACATAGTTTCAGCTAGTTTCAGAGTCTGGACTAAAATCATTAAAGAGCTTTAACAAGATCATGAAAGAAACTGGGTGACCACAAGATTCTTGTATAATCTTATTCTGCAAATAGATAGGAACACCTTCTGGGTTGAACCTTTTTTCATATGAAGAAAAAAGCATACCCATCTCTTCAACATTGAATGGTTCCATTTTAATGAATTTAGCCTTGTTAAAAGGTGGATTGAGGTCCTCACTACATTCTTCATCACCTTTTCCATCATCATCCATCAAATCCATGAGCTTAGAGGTACCTACACCAATATAAATTAGATTCTCAGAGATTGAGATTGATCGGAAGAAATCTTTAGCTACATTAAGGAGCTTCTTGTTTGTAAAAATAAATTGAAATTAATCAATGAGGATATACAAAGGATCTTCTAGGTCTAAGATGCGTGTTATGGTTTCTACATCAGTAAGGGTTTCTTTAAAAAAGTAATATGATATGATTTTGAAATTTTCATTTTGTAAATCTTGTGATCTTCTTGATTCTGTTGGTTTTGTTATCCTGGTCACTGTTGTCATATCAAAATACACAAAATTTTTTCTTTCACCCATGAGTAATGATCTTATTTCTAACAATAAGGAGGTCTTTCCACTTTGGTATGGTCCATGAATAATACATGATTGTTTTGCTGTAATACCATTTATAACTTTTTTGAAGATATCTATCTCTTTTGTATATGAGAACCATCAGTGAAACTCCAGATGGGTATACTGGTCCTTCAGTTGTTATAACACATTCAGTATGATTTCTTTTCAAGTTGGTTGAAGCTAATAAAAGCAAAAGGCAAGTTCATATGATTTATTATGCAAAACAAACTTTCATTTTGATACAAATAGATAAATAAATAAACAAAATGGAATAAATGGAAAATAATTTTTTGTATATTTTTTTATGCAATTTGTTCATTACTTTTTTCTTCGACTCTTGAAAACTTCGTAGTCCACTTTCCAATTTCTCCCATCCAAAAGTTTTCCTTCTCTTCTAATGTCTTCTTTTCTCCTTCTAATTCATCTTTT